GAAGTAAGTCAAGTTATGCATATGCGAAGGATGACATTGGTGGAGATAAACATTTTCTCTACGTTATTAATAAAGGGGCCAGTTTTGCATCGTGCGCGCAGGCATTTGAAGTTCCGTGTTGATCATTAGTTTGTATACGTTAAACTTCCGATAAAAAGATTGCCCATGTCTTTGTCGCGTTTGAATGATATCAATGAAGGTTGCGAAAAAAAAGTACCAGTTTCGGGATCATTTTGAAGCAATTTAAAGTTTTAAGATTGATGGATTCAACTGCGTGATTGTGATGGTGAAATGTTAGGGTAAACGGGATTCGATCGGTATTTTTCTCCTGTGACGTTTGTGATGCTGTCTATCAATTTAATTAATGCAGTGGTGGCCCGCTTAAGCGACAGAAACAGGATAGCCACGTTTTTCGAAAAACTAGCACATTGCCTCTGACTTGTCGGAAAAATTAGCGTCGTCACTGCTTAAAAGATGAAATGAATGATTTACGGAGGTAAGTTAATATGACGTGATCTACTAACGTCGAAAATATATCAAGTCGAACTAACAGTTTTGGCCTCGGTCCGCATTTTTGTCAACAAAATAAACACAGACTGCTTAAAAAGATGGTAATACGGACTACGGGCAAAGCTGTCAATTGTTTCTCGAATGTGCATGTGGCGCGTGTTAAATATTCAATAGTGACATCTCGTTTACATCTACATCTACATCTACTTTAATTACGTTAGTAAAATCTGTACAGACATCACACCAACTCACGCGCAAAGTGAGAAGACTATATGAAGGCTTGAAATTATATAACGATCGATTTTTATCAAGACATGAGCCAGGAATATTCCAATGTAGTGCAAATAATCGTGAAAGCTGATCGTGGAAAAGCGATTGCCTGAAGCTCGGTAAGTTGTGAGATGACATGTTATCACATACCAGACGAAAAACTCTTTAGATTCTCAGTCTGCAACTTGTACCCACTCTGCAGTCTGCGGTCTACATTTTGTTCCTAATCTACATTTTGTATACGGTCTGCAGTCTCCTGTCTGCATTTTGTACTCACAGGTATCCGTGGCACCATTACAGTTCATTTTTGGTTACAGTTATGCGCACAACACACACAATCTACCACAAAATACCTGTGTGTGAGTTAATTCGACATTTTCATTCTTTTCCGCGTTAATACTCTTCTTTCCTTTGGTCAGAATATAGACATCACTTACAATGTTTCAAGTAATCCACACCCACCCCCAAAGAAATAACTCTTGCATGCCTAGCATGCCTATGTTGAAGCAAGGCTTGAATCGTCTTCTTTAACGTAGTCGAGGTATCCAAGTATTTATCGTAACCTTAAGTATGAAAATTATAAGGAAGAATCGAAGCTAAATTCTAATAGGGATAAAAGAGAGCCGCTTGAAAACGAACTCTAACAAAACCTAATAACCAAATGGGAAGAACGTGCAGCGTTTTAACGAAGCGTGAACAATGTAAGCCACTTACATAACAGTCCCGCCTGTAAGAGTTTAACCAAAACGAACTTCAAGAGAAGGTGGGCAAAAAAGCGCTCTTCCGATAAACACTTCTTATCGTTAGCCCAAAGCAAGACAACTTACTAAAATGCGGTTCTGGTTGGAAATTAAAAGATCACGTCCCTAATGGACAAACAGTAACGTCATTATTACGGTTTAACACGAATCAAAGTCATAGCGAATCACTGTCCGTGGCAAAGACGTGGCAGCCGTTACACACCGTGTAACATGTAATTCCATTACTCATATCTTGTTCATTCTCAACTTTAATAGTTAGTGGATTTAATTTATTTTTAAAGGCGCTAAAAAAAATTCTGCTCTCTTGACAATTCAAGAGGAAGTTATATTCAGAGACGCTCGACCCTTATGATAAGTCTTCCGCCAACTCGCTTACCGACAACAGTCCCCGATCGAAAACAATTCCTTTTTTGTGGCTACTGCCTCCTTTAGGAGGCGAAGCCTCCTATATCGTCGAAATGAGTCAGCGAGTCAGCGAGTGGGTGATGGTAACAATAGAATCGCGATCCGGCTTGACAAAATTTTGACCAGATGTTTCCAGATGCTAATTGTCGTTTATTTGCGAGTATCTTAGTGATTTCTAGGCTATAGCCACCAACACATTTAAGTTATCTCCTTTTCTGGTTCTTCCCGTGACAATCTTGAAGGGGGGTAGGGGGGAAGGGACGGGGGGGGGGGGGTCAGAGTCTTCCGCTTCCCGTACCACGTATCAAACGTACCAAACTTGTTCGTTTTATGTCCTTTGTTTTGGCAAGGGGACTATTGGGTCCCGATGAAAGTTATTACAGGTCAGTTTTCTTAATTAAACAAAGTTTCACTAACCTGCTTATCACAGTTTGACCATCGCTTCTGACATCTCGTTATAGAGACGAAAGTCTCAGTCCTCTGTGTGATGTAATAGCTATTCCAATTTAATGTAGGTTTTTCCATGCATTTAGGAATACCATTTCAAAGTCAAATAAAAAAATCAAGAGCCAGACGTAACGTTTAGAGTTTTCTTCTCTGTATCCGTACTTGCTTTCCCTTTTTGACGTAAGTAACTAGTCGTAGCTAGTCGAGAGCGAATAAAAAAAGCTGACTCCAAAGGATAATTTAAATCACTGCATATCTGTCGTTGAACCGTTTGCATTTTGAGTGTTCAGTTTAAGTGCTAGTGAAGCATGATTGAACATTCGTAGTCGGCTGATTATCAGATTTGTTCGATAGGTTGAAATCTTCTTTAAACCTCCGCGGAAAGTTTTAAAGTTAGAAGAAGTCTTCCATGCACCGGGAAGACCACACTGAACTCTTCCAACTCCAAAGTTTGGTTAGAACCTCTTCTTCCCCCGAGACAAGATAACTTCTTGATTTTCTTCAATTTCATTTGTTTTCAAATCACATTCGCCCCGGTAATCTAAAAGCATCTTGCAGAATGTTTCCTCAGAGAGTTCAAAGCGCCCGTTTAATAATCGAGCGTAAATTGGGGCTGACAAGCCTACACGACTTTGTAGTAAGTCAAGTTTTCTGTATATTTGTTTTAAGTGTTAAAAGGCTCGCACGACTCCAAAGTATGTCGGTTTCCATGCTTTCGTTCTAATTTCGCTCTCACCAGTATGTCTTTGAGTGGACGCCCCTTTCTGTATGATACTATGAGCGGTTCTTTGAACATTTCTCTTAGCAGTGGTTTTTGCTGTGTAATGACAGTTGCTCATGAGGATTTCTTTAGGGTTTTGAAATGATGAATGGTATTGTGTGTATTGTGACCTGAATCGCTTTCTTTGCTGGAGATTTTCGACAGCTTCAGGTTACTAGACACTGAAGTATAGGTGTACATGTGTCATGCTTCATGCTATCTCATGATCTATGACGTAATCGAATCGAAGGGATTTCCAAATTCACCGGAGGTAATGCTGTTTTTCCAGCCCGAGTACAAATTTACGTTTTCTTGCTTCCAAAATTTTCTTGTAAGCATTAGTGGATGTTAAATGGAAATTTCAAGACTTTGCTAGATAAGTGTTTTTGACTAAATAATACCCAGTAATAAAAAAAATTATCGCCCTCTTTATTTCTGCTCCCGCTTCCCGCCCTCGTACTGAGATCCCGCTTCCCGCCCCTGTTCTCCCGCTTCAAACCCTCTTCCGCCCCCTGTTCTCCCGGGAAACCGCCCTCCTGTCCCCCTCCACAATCTTTCATCTCACAATCATTTCAGGATTGCGCGTGATTAAAAACAAAAGTTGCTAACATATGATTTCAAGGAAATTAAATACAGATGGAGTCTGCGTGTGTTCCAGGTATTGGGAGATAAGAAATTTGAGAGGACCAAATATTTTTAAGGAATAAGCCCTGTACACCGAGTTTCTTTTCATGCAGTGAACTGTTTCAAAACACCGTCTCTCTATTGTAGAGATATCTGCAAGGAAAGTTTTGATTTGAATTAAATGAAACTCCTAATCCTTGCACACTAAGTTGCTAACCTATCACTCAGGCCTCTCTACCCCAACATGGACATGGCCCGGGAAAAGAAAACGGAAATGGAAAGGAAACTAAGGAAAATGGAATTCGAGAGCACAAGGACAAAGCCGCTTCACGAGCCGCTTTCTCGTCACTCCTTCCCTCTGTGAGTCGGCTACGCAGGTGAACATGGAAGTTCGATTACGATATAGAATTTACTTTTGTTTTTTTTCTGTTTGTTGTTAACGTATGCACCTTTTGTAAGTTTTTGTGTATTCCAGCTGTAGAAATTATGTTCTACTTTATGCGCCAGTGAGTTTTTTATTTGTTATATCTGTAAACTTTTGCTGTTGTGCACGTTTCTGTGTGATGCATCTGTTTCAGATTCAACCTTCTTTGCTTGATTATTTTGTCTGAATGATTTCTCTCTTTCTTTTTTTAATTGCGTGTCTGATTTCACCGTTACAAAGCTCAATTCCAAATTTTCTGGACTTTGAATTCATTTAAAAAAAAAAAAATATGCCATTTATCACTTTTGGCAAAAGTGTTGAAATAGCTCCTGAGCCCGGTCACGACAAGATCTTCATGACTAAACATTACTCTTATCACAAATTAAATAATCCTCTTATCAGCACAATCCCGCGGTGACAGCGGGCAATCACGAAGTGGCATATCGCCAAGAGGATAACAAACGAGTCCTTATCTCTGAAAAAAAATGAGCCACTGGCCAGAGAAACAGCGATCTCGACAACGTTTTCAATTAGAAAAAGCTGAAAAGAGTTTAACAACATTGATGAAACGGCCGGCAAAAACTTAACAGGTTGGCAGAAAGACAAGCTGGATTAGCTACTAGTGAAAGCTCGGTGCAAAACAGATCCTCTTCTGAAACAAAACACGGCTTACGGCGACCTGTATCAAAGACGACTGAGTCAAGGGAGACGTAAATAAATAAAGTGACACTAATATTGATATTAAAGACTCCATTCTGGGTATCTGTGGTATTTCTTATGCATGCTAAGAGTCATCTGGTGAACACCCTGAGTTCTACAACTGAGCAGAAAAAATGTCCCGTTTTCTTCGACTTTTGTGGGTTGTATTTCAAGTACTTGTTATTACGGTATTCAGTGATTTTCAGAATGACAGAAGGCTCTTGGAGGATTACAACAGTAGGTTACTTGTGTATGTTAACTTTCTTATCAATGGAATGTGCTTGAACTTCTTCCTAGATATGAACCCTAGATGTTGCCAGGCCCTAAACTGGAATCGTGTTATATCTCAATTTCTAAAATAGCGATGTTTTCGCCGAAGAAATGGTTCAAAAACCATAATTTTGGTATATCTACGACAGAGTCTTTTTTAACTCTACATACAGAACGATTGAAAATACTTACAATCCTAGTTGAATTTTTTTTCTCTCTAAACAGACGCAATATTGATTACAAAGTTGACGAGTTTACAAGTCTGATTTCATCGCGATACTCATTGACTTAATGTTTTCTTGTATCGATCAACGTTTGAGCAAACCGTCCGAGAGGAAGCTTATGGTAAATGGTGCCATTCTAAATCTTTCCTCTCACACAAGAGATACATCAAGAAAAAAAAAAGCGCTGCCTAGTAACAAAAATTGGCAAAGATTTATTCAACCAAGCCTTGAAAAACTTAATGATTATTTCTATAACCATTGATGAAAAGATCTCTTTTCAGGAACGATAATTTTTAGTTTTTTTTTTCCCCACATAAAAAATGACTCTTCTATTATCTATCTAACAGAGGGGCCCTCCTTAAGGAGGCTGAAATGCAAACTAGAAAAGCTATTTCTCCACTATCGGCAAGCTTTACCTGTGCCCCTTAGAATCAATTCAAGTATAGGCCAACTTTCTTAAGCTAGCGATATTTCACCAGGTGAAAATGATCTTTCGAAAAAGGATGTCTTTACCTAAAGTAAAAAACTCCGAAAACGTCACGAAAACATATCTCTGTAGTTGAGCTCATAAATTCAACAAATATTTTCAGCTTTTACGCAGCCTATATCACCAAAACAGTAGTTAACTCAATGTCTCTGCAGATCTAATTGAGAAACAAGAGATGTTCAGAATAGAGACGTTCAATTATATCGCGTATTAACATGTGTGACCTTTCATCTATCACGGGCATTCATTTCTCAGAGCATTCCGTCTTCTTAATTAAACAAAAAAAATCCGCGTGTGCAAGCGCGAAGACAGAAGAAAAGGAGACAAGCGATATAAATAACTCTAAATTTTACCTGATACGTATGTTTACTGTAGCATCTGTGCATTTGAATGTTTGGGTTCAAATTTTACTCTGGCTTTTGGAGACCGGCCATGGGTGAGCGCGCGGGGGAGAGGGGGGGGGGAAGGAAGTCGGTTTAATATTCTTATGATCCCCCCTCAATAGCAGTTCATTGGCAGTTAATTTTTTATAGTCACGTTCCTCCTTTATACATTGTTGGCTATGACTGATACCCCCTCCCCCTTGAAAACCTTTAGACCCCCCCCCCCCACAAAAAATCATCCACCCCTCTTCCCCCCTTCTGGCAATAAATATTGAGTGGTTCTTCATGGTAAAGTCTCAAAAAAAGTTCTACATGTTAATTTGACTTTATGTCATTCCAGAGTTATTTTGATAATTAATCTGGAACAGAAGAGACTGTCACAATCAACCACGTTTTAGATAGTAAAATGTCACACTAAAGAAAAATGTTAATGAAATACATGTGTATACTGCGGAGTGACCTATACTACAATATGACTGGCCATATGCTTGATAGGTAAAGACACATTCTGTTGAAAAAATAAAACATGATATGCACATACATTTCTGAGTTAAGTGATTATTACCGTCATACTAACATCAAAGTTTTTTTAAAGCTCGGGGAAATTTTACTCTCATAGCTATTTGTGTTCATTTCTCGTACTGATCAAAAAAACTCATTGATAAATAGCATGTCCCTCATTTTCACCTGATTTTCATTAATGCACTTGCTGGAAACCAAAAAATTGTTCATAAAATTGATAAACTTCTGGAATAAGACAATCAGTCGTTTTCTACATCATGTATCATGCATCTCTCTTTTCAAAATGTCCAGAGACAGAAGAATAACGATCTACAGAGTCAAAAATGGCAGAGAATAATCGCTTGATTGTCCATATGAATCAATTTTTCTAAGATTTCTAAGGACAGAATTCATGTAAATGCAACTTAAAGAAAGCACCAGATATTCTTTAGTATGACAGATAACTGTTTCCTAACAGCAAAGAACTTCATACACCCCTCCAGAAATCTAAAAAAAAATTTACTTTCTCGTTCAAGAATTTCAGCACATTCCGTCAGCAAGAACCACAAGCAAGAAGCTTCAAATGCACTTTTTGGCGCAAACAGACGCTTCTCGCCTCAAAAGACAACTACGTGGCCACTACGATATCATTTACATCATCGACTCCTCCAGCTCGATCAGCAGGGCTGAATTCCGAAAGGGCATCAAAGCCATTCAAATGTTGATTGACAAGGGTGCACGTGACTCGTTACACGCGGCTATTACAGTAGCCAATCAGGCACATCCTGTCTTCACATTTTCTTCCGTTGAAAAAGCCAATGAGAAACTGGAGAAACTGCAAAGAACCGGTGGAAAAACAAACATGCAAGAGGCGTTAGAGAAAAGTTTACGAATGTTTCAAAATCCTAGCAGCGGAGCCCGAGCCGGAAGTTTTAGACGCGTTCTGGTTGTGACTGATGGACAGTCCAACGTGAAACGGAACAAAACGCTCTTGAATGCCATGGACCTGAAGCTCAATGGAGCAGAGATCTTTGTGATTGGAGTAGGAGAATACTTGGATGGAATTCATGAATTGGTGCACCTGGCTAGTTCATTGGATGCACATTTATACAGAGCTGGTGACATGCAAGGTCTCGTTGAAGTTGTCAAACTCATAACACCGGTCAGTTACAGACGGAGCTGGGAATCGGAAGTCAGGAGAATAAGGCAAGCAGTCATGCTTGGAAGGCAATAACGTGTTTTCATATCCTTCATGAATGATAAATGCATGTTCTTAAATGTTAATTGAAAAGGTCATCATAGTCCTTTTTGGTTGTTAGAACATTGGTCTGTTGGTGACTCTTTGGCAACTTGTTTGCTTCTTTAGATGCCTGTTTTTGTTTTGTTTTATATTTGTTTGTAATTTTTTACCTGGTTTTTTGTTTATTTGTTTGATTCACAATTTAATTCGGTTGGTGTTGTGAGAACATCAGTGAAATGAATTTTTTTATGTTATTTATGTCCTATCATGAGGCCTTTTCCAAACTTTTGAAAGTGTTTCATAAGTTCAAGATGAAACCACTCTGGTTTTATTTCCTAATGACTGCAATCAAGAGAACATTTTTGTTTTTAGTTTATATTTAATTTATCATATGCTAATCTTTTTCACTGCATTAGCCGATATAACGTCTTTAAGATCCTTAAGTAAAAGGTAACATTCCCTCTGTTTTCTTAGTCGTTATATAATAATACCAAATATAAATTTTTTTTTCTAGAAAACCCATAATCACATCCCCACAGAACTTAATATTACTCTCTGAGGCTGTAATTCATACACAAAAAACATAAACATGTACATTCAAGTTTACGTCTCATACTGACGAACCAATCATTGTTTATCAACTAAGGAAGGGAGAAGAGGGCGGATGATTTTAGGGGATCACATGGTTTTCAGGGAGAGCAGGGTGGGGAATCTGTCATCGCCAACAGAATATAAATAGGGAGCTATAGAAAATTGACTGCCAATTAAATGCCTGTGAGAGGAGATCATGTGATGCCAAAAAGCCTTATAGGGGGATTAGGTTAATTTTATCTTGACTCAACGAAAATCCTCCACACCCTTCCCCCCCTAAGGAGATGAATAATGACCGGTCTCGAACGTCAGTACATCCGACTTTTGGGATTAAAGTCTTCCTAACGGACTTGATTCCTCGTCGTCTCCCTCAGATTGTCCAAAATTTTCTTCAATCCATGTTTTTCTCCCTGTCTGATCAGGAATAAGCTTAATCATCTGCACTAGTCCACTCATATTTAATACACGGTACATGTGAGCATCAGATGAACTTGCCATCTGTACCAATTCTTTGATCCCCTCAAGGTATTCTCCTACGGCGATTACAAATATTTCAATTCCCATCAGTTTAAGTTCAAACGCACTGGGAATGGTTTCGTTCCTCTTGATATTGGACTGGCCATCTGTGACGATAAGAATTCTGTGAAAGCTTCCTTGCCGGGCGCCATATTGAGCTTCAACGTACATCCTTTTGCAAAGTTTGAGCGCAGCCTGAGTGTTAGTTTTTCCGCCGGTGCGCCTAATGGCGCCAATTTTTTCATCTGCGATGAAACGCGAAGCGAAGTTGAACTCAATTTTGGCACGAGTTGCATAGGTAACGGCGGCATAGACTGTGTCATTTCGTGATTTTCCCACAAGATCTCGCAAAGCTCTCAATCCTTTCACGAATTCTCCACTGCTAACGGAGCTGGATGAATCAACGACAACAATTACGTCAAAAAAATTTCCCAGGATCTGTCGTTTTTGGATTTTCCTGGCTTCCCCTCCGAAGAAGTTCTTGTAGAGCTTCTTTGCCGTTTCAGCAGCGGGTGGAATGTTTTGAAATCCTGACGGCGAAGAGAACAAAAGACAAAATTGTCGTTGTTTTCACGATTGCCATATTTACAGAGGCTATGGTCGTTTGATGGACGAAATATGCATCTGATGTAAATATCCTTTCGTCTGAAAATACCAGGAAACTATTTTCATTGCATTACAGGCGGTTAATATGCCTAAAGCTGATTTCTTGAAACAGCTTATGGTGCCCTTGGGTCAGTGTACGTTCAAATATGCAGGTCATTAAACAATTGATCTTTTTTTAACATGGCGCGTTTGTTTAGTGTGTGTTGCACATCGAGTTTCTAGAATCTAGAAACAGTGGATATAATGACGTGAATGCTCAAGAAGGTGAAATGAAACCACTACAGCACCTTTTTTGTTATTTGAGAGATTTAAAATTTCGTAAGAACTCTTGGGAGAAGAAGCCGAGTAAACCTGACCTTGCGCAACATCTTCTACTGTGGTGAGTGATTTTGGACGTCAGTGACCTAAATATTTGCACATCAGGGGATTGGTTTAAGACTTACTTTTGTAGTAATCCTCCTCGCTGATATCCTTCTTACTGCCACACGAAGTATCAAGACCCCAATAAGCAATCAAAAGTAAGGCAAATCTAGCTAATTGTGCCATCATGAAAAAAGGCTGGAGTACAGTATAGTGTCCACTTTAGCCACCTGACCGGGATATCCCCTTTCCAGTTACTCACGCTTAACTCGCGCGTGTATGATAGCTCACGCACATGCAACTCGCGCGTGTACGAAGTAATGGGCTTGTTGTTGTTGATATTCACAAAGGTGTTGGCTGTGTTCCAAACCATTCGCAAAGGGCTCACTGCCTTTGGCAGCAAGTGAAGCTTTTTGAGCGAAGCCGCCGCCGAAAAAGGAAAACTATTTCCTTTCTTTAGAGAAATCTAAAAGCCCTTTGGCATTTCCCCTCTAAGTTTAAGAGAAACCGGGGAGGCCGAGGTTTTTCTTAAGTGACGGTTAAGGGAGAAAGGAATTGGTGCAACACTATTTGCGAGAGATTTAATACCCTCAGCGGGAAGCGATTCTTTAAAACATGTTATATGCCGCCGCGGCCAACAGTGGGAAAAGTTTATCCGTAAGACTAAGGAACTTGAGAGGCCGCTTGGCTTTTCCTCAAGAATTTTTCCAGAAGTGGCGGTTAAGCCGAGATCAGAGAGGAATCGAGGGAGGACTTGTTGCGATATTAATGCAAGCGATTCTGTCTTCTGTGGTCAGTCCTCTCTGGGCTATTTTTATCTGAAGGCAGAACTTATCCACTTTGTACTTTTTGTTTACCTGGTTGCCTCATAGGTAGTGGGTCCTGTTTAGGCTGTTGTCATTTGAAAACAGAGCTTTTTTTTCACCGGTTATGTCTTTAATAGTCAGTTCTATCTGGGCAGTTATAATCTGAAGATAGAACGTTTTTGTTTTAAACCCTGCGGTTTTTCTTAGGTAGGCTAAAGAGTCGGGCAAAAAAAGCTCAGTGTTAGGGCACCAGACCAGACGAAATCTGAAGTACTTGAAGAGGTCGAAGAGTGACTAAGTGATAGAGAATCTTTTGAGTGGGCTCCATTCACATGCATGCAACAAGCAAAACAAAACAGATCACCATGGGAAGAAAGTTATTTTGAACACTAAAAATTTAATGAACGACACTCTAACATTAAAACTGCAGCTGGGGAACTTGAAAGCTTTTCCGTCCAACTGCTGCAGTCATTAGAAAATTTGAATAAATACGGCTCCCACGATTGTTTTGCTCACTTCCTATCAGAAAGATCACACCAACGTAACCGCAAGGAACACCTGCTCACTCCATATGCTAGTTGGTCACAGCATGCACCACTCTGTAAAATCCTCACTCTACTGAGCGAGCGCACACGCGAGTGGGAACCAAGAATGCAGAAGCTAGAGGGCAAACGTGTCCCACTACTGTGGTCCCCGAGTTTAGATCGCAAAGTCGAAGTCCCGTGAGGGTGGATTTCTAAGTTAGAAATTGTACTTGTTCCGAGGGTCTTTTCTCGCCTTTTCTTACCTCCACAGGAAACGCTCCTCCCTGTTGTATCTCAGTGAAGTAAGAGAACAAAAAGAAACTTCATGGATTCGCCACTGCTGAATTCTTTAACCCTGTCCACCCTAACCGAAGTAATGATATTTTCCATACTCTTCTCTATACATTTCATTATAGTACTGACAAGGAGAATTCGTTCAACAATCAAGCTTATTAGGTTGTCAATCACTTCCTTTATTCTCATGACCTTAATTGAACGATTCAGCATCAATACCGTAAGGAGAATCTAGATGCTGGTCACTCTTAGGGTTAAAAGGATTAAAACGGTGAAGTATACAGTTCCATGTTAGCATATGAAATGCGTGATGAAGATGCTTGAATTACAGGACAAAGTTAACCTTGGTAAATTCAAAAATACTTTCCACCTGGCGGTTTACAAAGTAACATTTTGTTACATGCATAAATGGTAAGGTTATTATACGAATTGGTGTTTAAATGACCAAAATTGTCAATTTTCCAAATGGCCTGTTGCTTACTTTTTACAAGACCTTGCGTTAACTAAGATAACCGATTAACATTCAGAATTGGCAAAATGAATACCTTGGAAAAATCACATCTAAAATTAATGACGATTACAAACTCTTCTTCGGTAAAAGTGTGCAAAAATCTTAAAACTGGTTTACATAAGTTATATGGTTTGTTCAGTTAAATGTTGTTTAACTATCCTATTAACAGGTTATTTATAAAATAGCACGTTTTTTCGTATATGCGTAATAAAATAGTCAGTTTGATTTTCTGAAACTTTTTTTGATCTAATATAAAAAACCACACACAGGTTTTATTGGGGGGGGGGAGGGAGAGGAGGGAGGGAGGGAGGGGGTATCATTTAACCAAAAAAGAATAAATACCCCAAGGATCGCAAGAATCCAAAGCGACTAGCGACTACTGTCTTGGACAACTTACGTATCCCAAGTTGTCTGTGTACGCTTGGTAGTTAAAAGCAATTCTGAGAAACTTGTTGGCCAAAGGGAAATGTTCAAGTCTTATGACAAAGGTGTCGTCGGTTTGATACAAAAGGGACCAAAGCGATAACGTCGTAAGTAAACAATGCATGGAATTTGTTTTGTCTCAAATGCTAGTTTCCATATAGCTGTCAGATTCTGAATAAGAAGATTCTCTATCGTTATCTTCTCCGTGACTACCTCTCCGTTCAGCGGTTCTTCGCTTTGTTTTAAGTTCTCCCTGCAAGAAACAGGGAAAGAGTGTTTTTAATTGTCATCTTAGCTACCATTATTTTCATCAGTTAAAGGCGGTAATCTGCAAGAAATTTTACTTAGCGTCTTAACAAGCTTACACATATAATCCGCGATTAAAGGCTTAAATGAAAGACAGATAGCCATGTGGACCTGCAAGCTTTTAAAATGGTGGATGTTGCGGCTAAAAGAGCTTTTTTAACTTAAGCAATAATGTTATAAAATGTTGCTTCTGCAGCTGTGATGTTTTGAATTTTAAACATTGCCGTGCTGTGATTTGCAATGCATTTGATGGGAGATTGCGAGCTCTTAAATATGAACACGACGTTACCTTCGGAATTTTTTCCTGAACAACAGTGCAAACTCTTTTTGACACACTGGAATGGGCGCGAAGAATTTTCTCATTGTCTTCGATGCACTCAGCAAAAGTAACTGAGAAATTAAAATAATCCAGTTACTTAAAATCGAGCCC